CCCCTGTACTGTGAGCATGTGGCTTAGCACAAAGGTTAAAGTGCTGAAAACAACTCATGGGTGTAGCGAATTACCCTATGAAATTAGGACCAGCCTAATCTTCACAAAGATAATCCCTCAAGATCTTGCAAAATGAAATCAGGAAATAATGAAATATCCCTCTGATCATGAAGTGAAAAATAAAAACTTGTGACCTGGTCAGATTTCTCAAAATAAAGTAATTTATTTTTAGATATATGACCAGGTCACAAGTTTTTATTTTTCACTTCATGATCGGAGGGGTATTTCATTATTTCCTGATTTCATTTTGCAAGGTCTTGAGGGATTACCTTTGTGAAGATTAGGCTGGTCCTAAGTTCATTAAGTAATTCGCTACATGATAAACATATTACCACGGGATCTAAGTGGCGACTATGTAAGATCGTAATGGGGTGGAAGGTCGGGTGTTGTCCAGGGACAACATGCATCATCTCCTTCATGCAAAGAAGGGATAACAGAAAATCACCCCAGTATGCTCTTTTGATTTTCTGTCGTCCCTCTTTTGCATGGAGGGACACCCCACCTTCCACCCCAGTACGCTCTTACATAGTCAACCCTTAGATCCTGCCCCGGACGTTTATCTTATACTGTATTGATCTCCTGGTGGGAAAATTAAAGGAGACCAATTGGCCCTAGAAATTTTTATGGTATGTCTGTGGGCTATCCAGACCAAAAATCTGTTGACATTAACTCCGCCCTTCAAAGCCAACGTTTACGTTAGCATGGCTAATAATAGCAGAAGCTCTGTTGTACAAACAGAGACCCAGAGTCAGACCCAGAGGCAGAGTTGAGGTCGCAGCTTTTTTTTCTCCCCACTCCTCCTGCGTCAGAGTTCTGCGCTCACTCTGCATGCTGTTATCAGGGCAGGTAATTGGAGCAGCAGCGGTCAAAATACCTCAGAAACTCGAACAAATAGGCTTTAACAAGGCTTTAATAAGCTAAAAATAGAGGTACATGAGAAAACGTGTTCATAACGAATGAAAATAAATAAATTGTATGTGTCCGTGTCAGTCTCAAACCCTGRTCTCCTGCWCTCTGATCCAACACTCTACCCATTGCTCTATTGGAGGCTTGCTGTGAAATGAGCTACACATTGCACAACATGGTGACGACTTTTTATACTGAGGAGGCGGAGCTTCACCCAGGGGTTGCTAGGTAAGGGGCTGAACACAGGTTCTAGTGGGTTGTCATACGGCTTGTGACATCACAAAATGTAGGAAGTATAAAACTTGTTGTTAATATACATTAAAATACATTTACTTGCAGTAGATATGCCCCTGGGTGTATTTCTTTGGTCCTGGGACTGTTTTCTTAAGAAGTATGTATCCAAAGTTTAGTAAAAACCTTTAAAAAGTGAATTTTGCATAATAGGTCTCTTTTAAGTCTTTGCATTTAACCCATCACACATGTGAACACACGTGCAACATGGAGACCAACCTAGAGTCGAATCGGCTACCTTCCGATCACAAACTCAGCTCACTCTCTGCTCGACTCCCCTAGTTTGTGTTGTTTGAGTTCAAATCTTTTTTGAGTTCAACCAAAAACTTAGACAGTCAACCAAAAACTTAAAGCGTCAACCAAAAGTTTGAGATTCAACCAAAAGTTTCTGTTTTGCAAAACACATTTAAATTTTTTTATTGAAGTAGCTTTTTTTGGTTGATAAAACAGTTTTTTTTTGGTTGAAA